AAAATGAAAACAAAATTACCTTAAATATATGGGACACAGCAAATGCAGTCCCAAGAGGGAAATTCATAGCAATTCAGGTCTACCATAAAAAAAATCTCAAATAAGCCATCTAACCTTACACTTAAAGGAACTACAAAAAGGCCAATTCCAAAATGAGTGGAAGAAAGGAAATAATTAAGATCAAAGAGGGGAAAAAAAGACTAAAAATACACAAAAGATCAATGAAACCAAGAGCTGGTTCTTTGAGAAAACATAAACAAGACTGATAAACCTTCAACCAGACTCATCAAGAAAAAGAGCAGAGCAGGGCTGATAACACCAGTCTCCCCAGGCACCTTCCCCATCACTACGTGACCTTAAGAATTAATGACCATTCAAAAAATGGGGAAAAAAAAGCAGACATGACCTTACCAACACCAAAGAAACATCCAAGCAATAAAGTGGAAGACTAATAACCAAGATGTGGACATTGGAATGTTTACGATTATTCTTTACAAAACAAGAATGTCAGCCAGTATTTCCAGCAATTTTTCTCAAACGTCTGCACAGAAGACAGGAGAGCAACCTCCCCAGTTTTGGCAACCACTAGGTTTATATATTTTTTTCCTGGTTTTTACTGTTTTGGTAATATGAATTGAAAGAAGATATTAATACCACACGGGGAGAACCCCAACCAAAGAAATCTGAAATATACAGTAAATGCTTTTTTGTTCCCTTTTCTAGTTCATTTTGGATGCTGGTGCTAAACTTCCAAGTGTCGTGATTTAAAAAGAAAATTTATGCTCTTATTTATTTCTAGATGAGGGGAGGATAACATTTTTGCTTTCTTATGCGACTCTCTGAAAATGTGCGGCATGAAGTTCCTCAAAAATAAAATATTTACCTTTGGGCGGGGGCAGGGTGGTGGAGGGGTGAGGGGGAAGACAGGGAGGACCCAAATAAATAAAATCAGAAATGAAAAAAGGATAAGTAACTACTTACACCACAGAAAATACTATATAAAACAATTACATGGCAAAAAATTGGGCAATCTGAACAAAATGGGTAACTTCCATGACTGAATCAAGAAGAAATAGAAAATCTGAACAGACCAATTACAATCAACAAAATTGAAGCAGAAATGCCTTAGAACTGCCGAAACCGGTTCGGCTCAGTGGATAGAGCGTCGGCCTGCAGACTGAAGGGTCCCGGGTTCGATTCCGGTCAAGGGCATGTACCTTGGTTGCGGGCACATCCCCAGTGGGGGGCGTGCAGGAGGCAGCTGATTGATCTCTCTCATTGATGTTTCTAACTATCCCTCTCCCTTCTTCTCTGTAAAAAATCAATAAAATATATTTAAAAAAAAAAAAAAAAAAGAAATGCCTTAGAACTAATAATTTATAGAGAACAAGTTTCTTAAATTTTTTTCTTTTGTCTTATGTCTGGAAGAATGAATAAGAATCTAGTTTAATGACAAATCTACCAACATTGTTGGTTTTGACAATGCTACACTTTCCGTATTTGGTTTTGTATCTTTCATTGCAAATTTAAGATCTTTTGTCAAGTGTCTTTGTGAGTTTGCTTAGGTATCGTGATCCATTTTTTGGATATGGAGCTACCCTTACACAGCCACCCACCAAGGCTAAGAAACTGCTTCAGTCTCAGGCTTAAAAGTATGATGATATTTCATTTCCATTTCTAGTTTTAAGTACTGTGCCTGAAGGAATTTTCTAAATAGACATTGGTTTAATGAATAATTGTTCCCTATGTCTTACCTTTTTTGTGGCCAGCTTTACTACATATATTTGGTATATAATCAGAAAATGTCAACAGATATAAAATTTAAAATACAGACGTACACGGAGAAAAATATTTTAAATGGCAAATGTAATTTCATTTTTTCTAGAGTTCACCATATCATCATTAATGACTTAGAGGCATTTTACTAGACCTATTCAATTTATATGTGTATAAATTACAAATAGCTAAATATGGATATATTATCAACTTAGAAAAAATGTTATATTCAAGTATTTAATGAACTTTCCTTTATCTATTTTTTGCTATTCATTTTCTACGTGTACATTCAGATGACATATGTTAATTTAACTTACTGTAACACAAAAACATGTGTAGCATGCAATGAGACCTACATACTGCAATGAAAACAGCAACTATAATCAATTTTGTTCACTGCAGTCACTATGTCAACTTTTAGTAGTAACAGTACTATAAATACTTTAACTCTAAAGTCAGAAAAAAAATTTTGTTTATAAAAACATGGATTACAAGTAAAAGGCATAAAATGTCAATGGTGTATTATAGGATACTAGAGGCCCGGTGCACAAAAATTTGTGTACTTGGGGGGATCCCTCAACCCGGCCTATGCCCTTTTGCAGTCTGGGACCCCTCGGAGGATGTCCACCTGCTGGCTTAGGCCCACTCCCTGGGGGATCGGGCCCAAGCCGGCAGTCAGACATCCCTCTGGGAGCCCGGCAGCCCTCAAGGGATGTCCACTTGCCAGCAGGGAGTAGATCTAAGCTGCAGTCGGACATCCTAGTGCTGCTGAGGAGGCGGGAGAGGCTCCCACCACCACCGCTGTACTGGCAGCCGTCCGCCTAGCTTGTGGCTCAGCAGAGCTCCCCCTGTGGGCGCGGA